AGGCAGAGGCAACAGTGAGGAGGTTACTCTCGATCTTCGAGAGAGCAGTCTCAAGAAGATCGATAGTAAGCTCAGTGGGGTGCTACAGAAGAAGTGCGTCGCGGGCGGTGGCTAGGCGGTCAGGGAGGCGAGTGACTAGCCAGTGAATAGTGAGCCACATAGGGGGCGGGGCAAGGGCAAGCTGGTCCTCAGTGCAAGCAGCGCGAAAGCGAGCGTCAAGGGAGCGAAGGTGGGTAGCGAGGTCGGAAACAGTCTCAAAGGAGGCGAGGTCAGGGTAGATAAAGGGGACGAGAAGGCGGCTGAGGGAGGCAGAGGAGGGAGTGGAGTAGCGAGCAACAATGGCCTTATACAGATCGGCGGCGGACTCGACCTAAGTGAAGTGGACCGCCTCTGTCGGCGGGAGAAGGTCGGTCAGGGCGAGGCAGGCAGCGGCGTCACGAGACTCCCACACGTCCCGAGCTAAGAACCGACGCTGGTACTCGGCCTCCTGCTCAGGAGTAGGCGGTGGGGTAGGGGTAATAAGCAGCGGTTTAGGCTGCGGAGGGGCGGTCTGAGTGCCGGACGCGTGTGCGAACAGGTGCACGCCATCCTGCCGCTGGCTCTTAAGGTGGCGCTGCGCCTGCGTAAGCCACGTACTAAAGTCAATCGGTCTCCCCTCAGGGTCAAAGCGAAGTACTCGGGAGGTCGCCATAGGGGGCGAAAGTGAGAGAACGCGGCTGCCAGCCGCGGGAGGGTGAGACAGTCAGTGGTGTGAGGGCAGGCGCGCAGGCGGGCAGGCGGCGCGGCATGCAGACAGGTGGGCGGCGCGGCGCGCTGACTCGCGGGCGACGCGGCGCGCTGGCCGGCGGGTGGCGCGGCAGGGTACGCTGGCGGGTGGGCCGTCCGTGGCGCGCTGGCATGGCACGCTGGCGTGCGTGCTGGCGTGGCGCGCTGGCGGGCGCGCTGGCGTGGCGCGCTGGCGTGCGCGCTGGCGTGCGCGCTGGCGTGGCGCGCTGGCGGCGCGCTGGCGTGGCGCGCTGGCGTGGCATGCTGGCGTGCGCGCTGGCGTGGCGCGCTGGCGTGCGCGTTGGCATGCGCGTTGGCGTGCGCGCTGGCGGGCGCGCTGGCGTGCGCGCTGGCGTGGCGCGCTGGCGTGCGCGCTGGCGTGCGCGCAGGCGTGTGCGCTGGCGTGGCGCGCTGGCGTGGCGCGCTGGTGTGCGTGCTGGCGTGGCGCGCTGGCGGGCGCGCTGGCGTGGCGCGCTGGCGTGCGCGCTGGCGTGCGCGCTGGCGTGGCGCGCTGGCGGGCGCGCTGGCGTGGCGCGCTGGCGTGGCGCGCTGGCGTGCGCGCTGGCGTGGCGCGCTGGCGTGCGCGCTGGCGTGCGCGCTGGCGGGCGCGATGTCGCGCGCGCTGGCGGGCGCGCTGGCGTGCGCGCTGGCGTGGCGCGCTGGCGTGCGCGCTGGCTGGCCTGCGCGCAGGCGTGTGCGCTGGCGTGGCGCGCTGGCGTGCGCGCTGGCGGGTGCACTGGCGTGGCGCGCTGGTGTGCGCGCTGGCGTGCGCGCTGGCTAGGGCGCTGGCGTACACGCTGGCGGGCCTGCTGGCTAGGGCGCTGGCGGGCCTGCTGGCTAGCATGCTTAGGGCAGACGGGGAGGAGAGAGGGGGGGGGGGGGTGTCAGAATGTTATTATCTAGCCTGTAGTGGGGTGCTCTATAACGAGTACAACCCAGTTAGGGTTTGCTATATGTACCCCAACTGCTGCTAGTGAAACCTCTCTTTCGTCATTCTTAGCTAGTGATTCTGACATGCTATCAGAGCAGGTCGACCCCCTTGGGTCGATCCTGTGGGTGGGCCCGCCACCTAACTGCTTCCGCTGCTGTTCTGCTTCTCGCGCGCCTCGGGCGCGCGCCGTCTTCTTCATCCCGCCGTGCGCTCGGGGCGTACGGCGGTTTTCTGCCCGCCGTGCGCCCCGAGGCGCGCGGCGGTTTCCTGCCCGTCGTGGCGCCCCCGGGGACCTGCGCGCTGCCCCCCGTCGTCCTCCTCCCGTCGCCTCGTCGCGGCGCCCTGGGGGCCCGCGCGCCGGCCCCTCCTGTTGCCTCATCTCGGCGCCTTGGGGGCCCGCGCGTCCCCCCCCTCCCGTCGCCTCGTCGCGGCACCTTGGGGGCCCGCGCGCCGCCCCCTCCCGTCGCCTCGTCGCGGCACCTTGGGGGCCCGCGCGCCGCCCCCTCCCGTCGCCTCGTCGCGGCGCCTTGGGGGCCCGCGCGCGGCCCTCCTGTCGCCGGTCGAGCCGCCCTCGGGGGCCCGTGCGCGGCCCCCCTCCCGTCACCCGCCGTGGCGCCCTCGGGGGGCCCGCGCCCTGCTTCTTCGTGGCGCCCAGGAGACACCCAGCCGCCCCTGCTGTTTCCCGCGCTCCTGCCTGCGTTAGGGTTTGGGGGTGGCGGGCATGGGGGTGACCGGTGTGGGTAACCTGCAGCTCCTCCTCCTCCTCCGTCTCCCACTGCTGCAGCTGCCGCTGAGGGGGGTGGGTGTGTGGGAGCCGAGGGTTTAGGGTTTAAGGGGGGTGACGTGGGAGTGGAGCTAGGGGTGCAGCAGGGGGTGTGTGGAAAGGAGGTGGGACTGTTTGGGGAGGCTGAGAGGAGGCCGCCGTCGTGTCGTGTGCAGCGCCTGTAGTCCGGAGCCGTCGTGCTCTCGGTAGCCCAGAGAGCCTTGCTGTGCCAGTCGCCTGTGGGTCCGTTGCTCCTGCCGCTCGTCGTAGCCGCGGAGCCAGATACTCCCGTAGTCCGGTGCCCTCGTGCGCTCGGTAGCCACTGTGCCAGTCCTCCTGTTGCCCGTGTGTCTGCAGCTTCAGCCGTCGTCTCCCATCTTCCCTCCCTTCACAATTCCTCCTCCTCCTCACTTGCCCTCGGTGATCGCCTCTAGCTTTGCTTATAATTGTGAACTATTACTATGTCTGCTCATTGTGCTGATTACACCCCACTTTGGCTATGGGGGTGTGTCAGAATGTTATTATCTAGCCTGTAGTGGGGTGCTCTATAACGAGTACAACCCAGTTAGGGTTTGCTATATGTACCCCAACTGCTGCTAGTGAAACCTCTCTTTCGTCATTCTTGGCTAGTGATTCTGTCAGGGGGGGGCACGCCAAGGCTAGAGACGACCTAAGTCTAGGAACGGCGGAGACTGGGTGTGGCCTAGGAACGGCGAACCTACTGCTGATACCATCTCATGAACTGAAAACAGCGGAATGAGTTGCATTGAGTGGATTGGGGTACATATTCCTAACCCTAACTGTTTGTACCCCCTACTGCACAACCCACTAACGGCTAGAACATTTGACAGACGGCTCCCCTTCCATACATCCCGACCTCCGCATCTCCTGGCTCCTTGGAAATCCATTTCGTCACCCTTAACCTGCTCTAGGCTCCCCACAGAGTGCTCCCCAGCGACGCTGGTGGCTGTCCGCTAAAATAGGGGAATAACGTGTTCAACACGTACGCCAAACAGTTGTTGGCCGGTGCAGCCATATTCTTAGCTCCTCTGTGGTTATTTTGTAAATGATTAAGATCATAATATATTTCTATTCCTATTCCTCGTACGCCGCCACCAATCAACAACGGCCTCTGTTAAGGGGGATTTACTGTTCATTCCGAACAGTACTTTCCAAGTCACCCTTATCCTTATCTTCTCAGATTCTCTAGTGCCACGTGGCACTCTACTTTTCTTGCACTACAATTCTTGGTCCCACAATCCACTTTCCAACCTTGTTTCTTGCATGCTTTATAAACCTTGCTTGTACTTGGCATTATCAACCAATTCTCATTCAACTCTTCTTCAATTACTCAGTAACTCCTTCGCCTATTTCGCTAGTAGTTCTTTCGCCAAAGTCTTCCGCCGCGCTTCATCCTCGACTTAGTCGACCCCGCTAATTCTTTAGCGGATTTAGGCCAGCGGGCCTAACAGCCTCCCTGGGCGGGAGGGCATGCTTTAGCCAACCTGGCAATTCAGAGTGCGCCCAAGGTGACACAATCGAGAGCTGCTCTTGCCTCGCCATGCGTACCTCGATATTCCACACCTCCCTTCGATATTCCGCCTTCCCACGCCTCGCTCCCTACCTACGTCCCCCCATGCCCACCAGCGTGTGAGTCTCTGCTCCAAGCCTAGCCTTGGTCCTGCCACACCAACCACGCACACGCGTTTGCCTGTCCACTCCATTCCGTGCCGCTCCCCGCCGCCACCACCATATCTCATCGCCGTGCGCCAGCCTTCCTCGCTCGCCCCGAATCTGCAGAACCTAGGCCTCGCGAGAATTCCTAGGCCTCTGTCGCTCAGCTGCTGCGGACAGCACGGCGAGCTCGCCGCGCCTTTTCTTATCAATTGGTCGCCGTCCGCAACGCGCATCCGCACCGCACGCTGCGACGAGTTCCATCGGAGTTCGCGCCGTGCTGCCCGCGTGCTCGCGCCGTCTCGATCCCACATTCGCTCTCCCCCCACGCGTGCCCACCTCGCGTGCGATCAGCTGTTTCCCTACCGACCGGCATCAGGCGGCCGTGCGGATCGCGATCGCGCGGAATGGGGGGAGGCGGCGGCAGCGGGGAGGTGGTGGTGGACGGGAAGCGGATGTACGTACCCGTTTATGGCATTCTCGCTAGCAGCGCCATATCCGCGTGCTTCGCCGAGGTGAGATCCGCGGCGCCCCTCGCCGCTCTGCCTCCCTCCGCCCGCTCGCATCGCGCGCTCGGCCCGCAAGCTCACCATTTGCTCATTTCGATTTCCGTCACCCCGCGTCGCCCTCCCTTCCGTTGGCGGCGTTGGGGTGAAGCGCGTGTCGAGTAGCCAGCAGCCGCGTGTCGAGTAGCCAGCAGCCGCGTGTCGAGTAGCCAGCAGCCGCGTGTCGAGTAGCCAGCAGCCGCGTGTCGAGTAGCCAGCAGCCTCGTGAGCCCATTTCTCCAATCTCCCCTTCCCCTCCCCACCACGCTCCCCACCACGCTCCCCACCACGCTCCCCCCCCCCCCCCCCCCCTCCCGCGCAGTTCTGCACGCTGCCCATCGACACGGCCAAGGTGCGCCTGCAGCTGCAGGGCAAGGCGGCGGGCGGGGCGGGCGGGGCGGGGGGCGTGGTGAAGTACCGCGGGATGGTGGGGACAATGGGGACGATCGCGCGCGAGGAGGGGCTGTCGGCGTTGTGGAAGGGGCTCGTGCCGGGGCTGCACCGCCAGTGCGTCTATGGCGGCCTGCGCATCGGCCTCTACGACCCTGTGAGTGGGCCTCTACGATCCGGTGAGTGGGCCTCTACGACCCGGTGAGTGGGCCTCTACGACCCGGTGAGTGGGCCTCTACGACCCGGTGAGTGGGCCTCTACGACCCGGTGAGTGGGCCTCTACGACCCGGTGCGTCTCCATGCGCCCTCTGCCACCCCGTGAGCTTCCACGCGCTCTCTGCCACCCGGTGACCCGCGGGTGTGCTGCCGACTCTAGTGCCTGTCGATGCCAGCAGCACATGGCGAGCTGTCAGCATGGCGCATGACAGCAAGGTGCGCTGTGATGTCATGTGTTGAATGCCGCCTTGCACTCAACGCTCAACTCTCTGCGCTCCTTGCTGCTCCCGTCCCGTGCCCTCGGCCCCGTGTCCCTTTCCCTCTGCCACGTGCCCCCTTCCGTGGGGCGGGCAGGTGAAGGCACTGTTCGTGGGCAAGGACCACAGGGGCGACGTGCCGCTCACCATGAAGATCGCCGCCGCCCTCACCACAGGTGCCCCGCCTCCCTGCTCCCCGCCTCCCTGCTCCCTGCCTCCCTGCTCCCCGCCTCCCTGCTCCCCGCCTCCCTGCTCCCTGCCTCCCTGCTCCCCGCCTCCCTGCTCCCCGCCTCCCTGCTCCCCGCCTCCCTGCTCCCCGCCTCCCACTATTCCTGCTGCACTCTTCCCACTCCTGCTACACTGTGCTCGTCCATTGCCTGTGCTCACATGTTAAGCTCGTTTCTTTGAACGCCTCAACCCAACAACGACCTCCTTTCAAGTGCTTTCAATATCTCTTCACCATCCACCATCCACCATCCACCATCCACCATCCACCATCCACCATCCACCATCCACCATCCACCATCCACCATCCACCATCCACCATGCACCATGCACCATGCACCACGCACCATGCACCATGCACCATGCACCACGCACCATGCACCACCACCATGCACCATGCACCACCACCATGCACCATGCGTACGGCATGCACCACGCACCAGGCGCGGTGGGAATAGCGATCGCCAACCCCACGGATCTGGTGAAGGTGCGTCTGCAGTCGGAGGGGCGCCTGCCGCCCGGCACACCCAAGCGCTACTCGGGCGCTCTCAACGCCTACGCCACCATCGCCCGCCAGGTCAGATGCCACCACGCCCGCCAGGTCAGATGCCACCATCGCCCGCCAGGTCAGATGCCACCATCGCCCGCCAGGTCAGATGCCACCATCGCCCGCCAGGTCAGATGCCACCATCGCCCGCCAGGTCAGATGCCACCATCGCCCGCCAGGTCAGATGCCACCACGCCCGCCAGGTCAGATGCCACCATCGCCCGCCAGGTCAGATGCCATGCCACGACGCCTAGCAGGGATGGCAGGTGGAGTGTGGGGGAGATGGGAGAGGTGGCGTGGCGTGTAGGAGGGAGCAGCAAGGGGCTTGCTGTGTGTGTGGTGTGGTTCTCAGCCTCGTCTCCTTCATCTCTCATTCTGCGTCCACCATTGTCCTCCCTCGCATGCACGTCCCTCAAACTCTTCCCCAGTCTTAAGAGCTGAAATCTGAATGATCACGTTTCAGGGCACAGAAAGATTCAAAGCAGGAAATCAATAATCAGTCTTGTTCCTTTTGACTGCCACCGCTGCTGGCTTGGCGTGGCGTGGCATGGCATGGCATGGCATGGCACGGCATGGCATGGTGTGGCATGGCATGGTGTGGCATGGCACGGTGCGGCATGGCACGGTGTGGCATGGCACGGTGCGGCATGGCACGGTGCTGCATGGCAGGAGGGTGTGGCAGCGCTGTGGACGGGTGTGGGGCCCAACATCGCGCGCAACGCCATCATCAACGCCGCTGAGCTCGCCAGCTACGACCAGATCAAGCAGGTAGGCGGTGTGAGCAGATGCAGATGAAGCATGTGTGCTGCACTTCGACATCTCTCTCATCTCTATCTCACGCTGCCCCCCCCTCTCCCTGCCGTGCCCTCACCTGCCTCTCTCCTCCCTGCCGTGCCCTCACCTGCCTCTCTCCTCCCTGCCGTGCCCTCACCTGCCTCTCTCCTCCCTGCCGTGCCCTCACCTGCCTCTCTCCTCCCTGCCGTGCCCTCACCTGCCTCTCTCCTCCCTGCCGTGCCCTCACCTGCCTCTCTCCTCCCTGCCATGCCCTCACCTGCCTCTCTCCTCCCTGCCGTGCCCTCACCTGCCTCTCTCCTCCCTGCCGTGCCCTCACCTGCCTCTCTCCTCCCTGCCGTGCCCTCACCTGCCTCTCTCCTCCCTGCCGTGCCCTCACCTGCCTCTCTCCTCCCTGCCGTGCCCTCACCTGCCTCTCTCCTCCCTGCCGTGCCCTCACCTGCCTCTCTCCTCCCTGCCGTGCCCTCACCTGCCTCTCTCCTCCCTGCCGTGCCCTCACCTGCCTCTCTCCTCCCTGCCGTGCCCTCACCTGCCTCTCTCCTCCCTGCCGTGCCCTCACCTGCCTCTCTCCTCCCTGCCGTGCCCTCACCTGCCTCTCTCCTCCCTGCCGTGCCCTCACCTGCCTCTCTCCTCCCTGCCGTGCCCTCACCTGCCTCTCTCCTCCCTGCCGTGCCCTCACCTGCCTCTCTCCTCCCTGCCGTGCCCTCACCTGCCTCTCTCCTCCCTGCCGTGCCCTCACCTGCCTCTCTCCTCCCTGCCGTGCCCTCACCTGCCTCTCTCCTCCCTGCCGTGCCCTCACCTGCCTCTCTCCTCCCTGCTGTGCCCTCACCTGCCTCTCTCCTCCCTGCCGTGCCCTCACCTGCCTCTCTCCTCCCTGCCGTGCCCTCACCTGCCTCTCTCCTCCCTGCCGTGCCCTCACCTGCCTCTCTCCTCCCTGCCGTGCCCTCACCTGCCTCTCTCCTCCCTGCCGTGCCCTCACCTGCCTCTCTCCTCCCTGCCGTGCCCTCACCTGCCTCTCTCCTCCCTGCCGTGCCCTCACCTGCCTCTCTCCTCCCTGCCGTGCCCTCACCTGCCTCTCTCCTCCCTGCCGTGCCCTCACCTGCCTCTCTCCTCCCTGCCGTGCCCTCACCTGCCTCTCTCCTCCCTGCCGTGCCCTCACCTGCCTCTCTCCTCCCTGCCGTGCCCTCACCTGCCTCTCTCCTCCCTGCCGTGCCCTCACCTGCCTCTCTCCTCCCTGCCGTGCCCTCACCTGCCTCTCTCCTCCCTGCCGTGCCCTCACCTGCCTCTCTCCTCCCTGCCGTGCCCTCACCTGCCTCTCTCCTCCCTGCCGTGCCCTCACCTGCCTCTCTCCTCCCTGCCGTGCCCTCACCTGCCTCTCTCCTCCCTGCCGTGCCCTCACCTGCCTCTCTCCTCCCTGCCGTGCCCTCACCTGCCTCTCTCCTCCCTGCCGTGCCCTCACCTGCCTCTCTCCTCCCTGCCGTGCCCTCACCTGCCTCTCTCCTCCCTGCTGTGCCCTCACCTGCCTCTCTCCTCCCTGCCGTGCCCTCACCTGCCTCTCTCCTCCCTGCCGTGCCCTCACCTGCCTCTCTCCTCCCTGCCGTGCCCTCACCTGCCTCTCTCCTCCCTGCCGTGCCCTCACCTGCCTCTCTCCTCCCTGCCGTGCCCTCACCTGCCTCTCTCCTCCCTGCCGTGCCCTCACCTGCCTCTCTCCTCCCTGCCGTGCCCTCACCTGCCTCTCTCCTCCCTGCCGTGCCCTCACCTGCCTCTCTCCTCCCTGCCGTGCCCTCACCTGCCTCTCTCCTCCCTGCCGTGCCCTCACCTGCCTCTCTCCTCCCTGCCGTGCCCTCACCTGCCTCTCTCCTCCCTGCCGTGCCCTCACCTGCCTCTCTCCTCCCTGCCGTGCCCTCACCTGCCTCTCTCCTCCCTGCCGTGCCCTCACCTGCCTCTCTCCTCCCTGCCGTGCCCTCACCTGCCTCTCTCCTCCCTGCCGTGCCCTCACCTGCCTCTCTCCTCCCTGCCGTGCCCTCACCTGCCTCTCTCCTCCCTGCCGTGCCCTCACCTGCCTCTCTCCTCCCTGCCGTGCCCTCACCTGCCTCTCTCCTCCCTGCCGTGCCCTCACCTGCCTCTCTCCTCCCTGCCGTGCCCTCACCTGCCTCTCTCCTCCCTGCCGTGCCCTCACCTGCCTCTCTCCTCCCTGCCGTGCCCTCACCTGCCTCTCTCCTCCCCCACCAGACGCTGCTCAAGGTACCGGGCTTCGGCGACAACGTGGTGACGCACCTCATCGCTGGGCTGGGCGCCGGTTTCTTCGCTGTCTGCATCGGCTCGCCCGTCGATGTGGTCCGTGCCGCCCCACCTGCCGCCCTACCTGCCGCCCCGCCTGCCGCCCCACCTGCCGCTCACCCCGCCTGCCACTCATACTTCCTGCTGCACATCTCTTGCTGCTCACTCGTGCCCTCTCACTCGTGCCCTCTCACTTGTGCCCTCTCACTCGTGCCCTCTCACTCGTGCCCTCTCACTCGTGCCCTCTCACTCGTGCCCTCTCACTCGTGCCCTCTCACTCGTGCCCTCTCACTCGTGCCCTCTCACTCGTGCCCTCTCACTCGTGCCCTCTCACTCGTGCCCTCTCACTCGTGCCCTCTCACCGCACGCCTCTCTCAGTGCTCTCTCGTTTTAAACATCCATCCCTTCCTCCGCTCCTCCCCATACTCCCCCTCCCATCTCCCATACCCACTCCCCCCCACTTCCCACACTCCTCTCACCCTTCCCCATATTCCTCTCACCCTTCCCCATATTCCTCTCACCCTTCCCCATATTCCTCTCACCCTTCCCCATATTCCTCTCACCCTTCCCCATATTCCTCTCACCCTTCCCCATATTCCTCTCACCCTTCCCCATATTCCTCTCACCCTTCCCCATATTCCTCTCACCCTTCCCCATATTCCTCTCACCCTTCCCCATATTCCTCTCACCCTTCCCCATATTCCTCTCACCCTTCCCCATATTCCTCTCACCCTTCCCCGTATTCCTCTCACCCTTCCCCGTATTCCTCTCTCGAGTCCTGCTGCGTTGTCGCACTGCTGCTGGCCCAATCATCTCAAATTTCTCCATTCATCTGATTGCCCAAACTTGCCCTCTATTCTACTCGGCGCCCTCCTCGTGCTGTCTCCTCGGCTGCCGTCGGCCCACCAGGTGAGTGCACGTGGCAGTGCCAGGGTCCGCTGCTCTTCTCGTCTGCTCATATCACTCTCTTCTCTTGTACCTAATCCCTTTGCCCTTCGCTCCCCCCCTGCCTCCCCACCACCTCCCCACTGGCGTGGGCGGGCAGGTGAAGTCGCGGGTGATGGGCGACAGCAGCGGGCAGTACAAGGGCACGCTCGACTGCTTCGTCAAGACTTTCCGCAACGACGTGCGTGCCACCGCCCCTGCTGCCCCTGCCACCCCTGCTGCTGCTGCTGCTGCTTCTGCTGCTGCTGCTGCTGCTGCTGCTGCTGCTGCTGCTGCTGCTGCTGCTGCTGCTGCTGCTGCTGCTGCTGCTGCTGCTGCTGCTGCTGCTGCTGCTGCTGCTGCTGCTGCTGCTGCTGCTGCTGCTGCTGCTGCTGCTGCTGCTGCTGCTGCTGCTGCTGCTGCTGCTGCTGCTGCTGCTGCTGCTGCTGCTGCTGCTGCTGCTGCTGCTGCTGCTGCTGCTGCTGCTGCTGCTGCTGCTGCTGCTGCTGCTGCTGCTGCTGCTGCTGCTGCTGCTGCTGCTGCTGCTGCTGCTGCTGCTGCTGCTGCTGCTGCTGCTGCTGCTGCTGCTGCTGCTGCTGCTGCTGCTGCTGCTGCTGCTGCTGCTGCTGCTGCTGCTGCTGCTGCTGCTGCTGCTGCTGCTGCTGCTGCTGCTGCTGCTGCTGCTGCTGCTGCTGCTGCTGCTGCTGCTGCTGCTGCTGCTGCTGCTGCTGCTGCTGCTGCTGCTGCTGCTGCTGCTGCTGCTGCTGCTGCTGCTGCTGCTGCTGCTGCTGCTGCTGCTGCTGCTGCTGCTGCTGCTGCTGCTGCTGCTGCTGCTGCTGCTGCTGCTGCTGCTGCTGCTGCTGCTGCTGCTGCTGCTGCTGCTGCTGCTGCTGCTGCTGCTGCTGCTGCTGCTGCTGCTGCTGCTGCTGCTGCTGCTGCTGCTGCTGCTGCTGCTGCTGCTGCTGCTGCTGCTGCTGCTGCTGCTGCTGCTGCTGCTGCTGCTGCTGCTGCTGCTGCTGCTGCTGCTGCTGCTGCTGCTGCTGCTGCTGCTGCTGCTGCTGCTGCTGCTGCTGCTGCTGCTGCTTCTGCTGCTGCTGCTGCTGCTGCTGCTGCTGCTGCTGCTGCTGCTGCTGCTGCTGCTGCTGCTGCTGCTGCTGCTGCTGCTGCTGCTGCTGCTGCTGCTGCTGCTGCTGCTGCTGCTGCTGCTGCTGCTGCTGCTGCTGCTGCTGCTGCTGCTGCTGCTGCTGCTGCTGCTGCTGCTGCTGCTGCTGCTGCTGCTGCTGCTGCTGCTGCTGCTGCTGCTGCTGCTGCTGCTGCTGCTGCTGCTGCTGCTGCTGCTGCTGCTGCTGCTGCTGCTGCTGCTGCTGCTGCTGCTGCTGCTGCTGCTGCTGCTGCTGCTGCTGCTGCTGCTGCTGCTGCTGCTGCTGCTGCTGCTGCTGCTGCTGCTGCTGCTGCTGCTGCTGCTGCTGCTGCTGCTGCTGCTGCTGCTGCTGCTGCTGCTGCTGCTGCTGCTGCTGCTGCTGCTGCTGCTTCTGCTGCTGCTGCTGCTGCTGCTGCTGCTGCTGCTGCTGCTGCTGCTGCTGCTGCTGCTGCTGCTGCTGCTGCTGCTGCTGCTGCTGCTGCTGCTGCTGCTGCTGCTGCTGCTGCTGCTGCTGCTGCTGCTGCTGCTGCTGCTGCTGCTGCTGCTGCTGCTGCTGCTGCTGCTGCTGCTGCTAGCCCGATTTGCGCACGCTCTCCCCCGTCCTCTTTCAAGTGCTCCTTCCATGTGCGAATGAAGCGTGAGTGCAAGCGCGCACCAGGTGAGCGTGCTGCAGGGCCACCAGGTGAGCGTGCTGCAGGGCCACCAGGTGAGCGTGCTGCAGGGCCACCAGGTGAGCGTGCTGCAGGGCCACCAGGTGAGCGTGCTGCAGGGCCACCAGGTGAGCGTGCTTTAGTGCCACTCAGGAGTAGATGCAGGCTGAGAGGCACCAGAGTGGTGAAAACAGAGGCCCACATGGATGACAGCGCGTCCACCGGCTCAGGTGAGCAGTGGCTGCGAGAGCCCCTCTCAGCCCAGAAGCTGCTTGCTCTTCCGTGTCTGTGCGTCTGCGTGGTGTCGTGCCTGCTGTCTCCACCGCACAAGTCCATGCAGACTCTCATGCAATCATGGCTCTCATGCAACCATGTGCGAGTGGCATGTAACACGTGTAGGCTGTGGCATGTGCAGCACCTCTCCAATGCCAACGGTATGCTGCATGTGTTCCGTCTTGCCACCCCCTCTCCCCCTCGCCCCCTCCACCCCCCCAGGGCGTGCTGGCGTTCTACAAGGGTTTCATCCCCAACTTCGGCCGCCTGGGCTCGTGGAATGTCATCATGTTCCTCACCCTCGAGCAGGTGCCTCTGCCCCCACCTCCACGCGCTGCTCTCCTTGCCATGCACCGCACATTCATGCCCTCCAGCTCACACTGCCCACGCGCACTCTACTCACATGCACTCGGAACTCCTTACTTGCGTGCACTCTGCGTTCAGTCCACCCACGTTCTGCACCCATCTGTTCTGTGCTCGTAGCTGCCCCCCTCCTGTGCCCCGGCCCCCCTCCTGTGCCCCGGACGGCTGTGAGTCCGTGCATGCTTGCTGCTTGCCATGTGCCACAATCGCTCTCTCCACTGCTCGATCGCATGGCTGCAGGTGAAGAAGAACTTTCTTACACAAGTGCCTGACCAATAGCACTGCCCCGTCAACAGTCCTGGTCCTGTTACCGGTTCGTTGTCTTAATACCTGATAATGCTGATAGGCAACTGGTACACTTGTAACCTGATATAAGTCAAGGAGGCAGCAAAGTAGCCACGAACTTCTTAGCCTCATATATGCGTTACTTACCCATATGGTTTGTACTAAGGGTACATTCCGCTCTGGACATGTACTCTTAGAAAGTGTCCGAATCGATTGTGACGCGTACTTACATCATATGGTGCCATGTGTCCGAATGTCGGACCGCACGTGAATGTCGCAAACCGTATTTATCATTGAGTGACGTGAAAGACGGAACAATCGCGGGCTAATTGCTGGCCAGCGCGACACACACCAGCCCTCGCACGCGGTGCCAAATGTCAATCAAGGCTGCATGTATCTGGTCATCATCCTACAGTCACTCACAAGATCGAGCAAGATGTGTGGGCCACTCACAAAGATAACCAATCAGATTCGAGCACGTATAATTGTCGCTCAGTCGTTCAGGGTCGCAGTACATTGCTCGATTGGGACATGAGGTTCCGAGAGAATTGAACGCGACTCGGGCAAAAAGTGATTCGGACACTTTCTAAGGGTACATGTCCAGAGCGGAATGTACCCTAAGAGTAATTGTGTTACTTACCCGTATGATTGGTACCGTAATACCCTGGATATAAAACCCTTCCCCCAGTTGTAGAACCCCGGGTCTATGATACGGAAGGGGATACGCTGAATAGGTCGTTTTTTGTTATACCCCCCTAAATGAGGGCTAACATTATAGACCCCCCCCCCCCCCCTTTAGAGAAGAGGTTATTTTATAGCCAAGGAATGAATTTATGTTAGTTTTCCTACGGCTTTTCACAGCAAATCCCACAAATTGTTCATTAAGCCTTGTTAATTGTTAATTAACTGTGACTATTGCCATTCTTCGACAGTTACTTGGTTGCATTGCGTAACCTCTGATGCGGTTGTCGGTTGGTCAACAGTCACGACTGTTGACTTTCGGTGACTGTTGACCTTCGGGTGTCTCTCAAGCTACCGAGTACTCTGTGCGTGCATGTAGCGATACTGATACAGCAGCACTGCTTCGTTATGAGCTAGTGCGCTAGGAGAGATCCTTCGGGAATGCTGTACCTTTCGGTTATTCCAACAGTCCCCTTCATTCATGAAGATGAGCCACGTGGGATTTCTTTGAGATCACGCAGAGGTCGATGCAGTGCTGGAACTTTTGATGTGGCAGTTTCTTCGTCAGAAAATTGGCTGCCATGTCACCGGTTGGGCAGTACGTGAGTTTTACCCTCCCCTTGTCGATCTCGTCCTTGACGAAGAAGTAACGGAGTGCGATGTGCTTCGTGCGGTTCACGAACCCTGGCTTGTTCGCGATCTTGATCGCGCTCTGATTGTCGCAGAGTAACGTGAAGTGCCCGTTCATCGTCACCTTCGCTTCTTGCAGGAGCTCCATCAGGTACAGTCCTTCGCGAACAGCTGCGCTGGCGGCGATGAACTCAGCTTCGGCTGACGAAAGGGCGATGAGTTCCTGCTTCTGGGAATTCCAAGAGATGAGTCCGGCAGGTTGAAGCTGAAAGATGAATCCTGTGCGGGAGCATCTGTTGTCAGTGTCTCCAGCGTGGTTTGCGTCTACGTAGCCATAAAGCTGTAAGGTAGCGGTGAGGTTAGCTTCATAGGTGAGTCCGACGTCAGGGGTAGAGACGAAGTATTGAAGTGCTCGGCGTACGTCCAGTAGGTTCTCCCCTTCAGGTCGCTTCAGGTACTGTGCGAGCTGGCTTGCGACGTAGGAGAGATCCGGCCGGCACGTGACGGCGGCGAACAGGAGGCAGCCCAGCTGCTGCTGATAGAGCCGATGATTTTCGATGGAGAGCGGTGTGGTATCGGGTTCATGGTTAGGGGGAGGAGTGCGGAAGGGGGTGGTGAGGTTGATTGGCGCGATGATGAACTTCTTCGCAAGTGTTTCCGCATACTTGGCGGCGGGGAGGTGGATGGAGGTGGCGGACAGGGTGATGTTGAGGCCCAGAAACTGCGTGACATTGTGATTAACTGTCACTTCGAGCTTCTCCTTAATATCTGCCTCGAACCGATCCAGCAGCTCTGTGTCGTCGCCGGTGTAGAATAGATCGTCGACATAGGCGACGAGGAGAATGAATTTGCCGCGCGACTCCTTACTGTACATTCCGAGGTCATGTGGCACTTGCTTAAATCCGAGTTCCGTGAGTACTGCTGCCACAGTCGGGGTGCTTGTTTGATCCCATAGAGGGATTCCTGGAGGAGGCAGACGCCGCCGTCGGCCTCTTCGAAGGCGTGTGGCTGCTCGACGAAGATGATGGCGTCGACGGGAGCGTACAGGAATGCACTGCCGACATCGATTTGACAGAGTGGTCGCTGCTAAACGGCTGCGATGCAGATGAGGATGCGCACCGAGGTGTGTCGTTCGACAGACGCGTAAGTCAGGTCGAATTCCACCAGGTGAGTTTGTTCGAAGCCGCGGACGACCCATCTTGCCTTGTGCTAGTCAATGGAGCCATCCGCGAGAGTTTTAATGCGAAAAACCCACTTGCCGCTGAGAATTTCTCTCCCCTTCGCTGATGATTGTGAAACCAGCTTCCATGTTCCGCGTTTCTTCAGCGCCGCGACTTCAGCAGCCATGGCTGCTTTCCATTTCTCACTATCGGGGCCAGACAGGGCTTGGCGAACAGTGGTAGATTCCTTGGGGGAGGCGTGGCAAACTACGACAGCGAGCCCAAGGATGTGGAGACCAGTTTCGTTGGTCTTTTCGTAGTGGAGACGATCGTAATCGTGGAAGCTGGTAACCTCGACGACGTCGTCGTCGCTGTCGTGGCCGCTACGAATGGTGTCTTGCGAGGCGTTTGGAGCTGGTAACTCGGCATCCGGAGATCGGCGCGCTTCACTATTGTAGTTGTGGGCTTCTCGAGTTGTATCATCAGGATCGAATTGGGAGACAGGCATGAAGTTGGAGTATTGAGTGGTCGTGTAAGGGGGATGTTGGGGGCGGTGTCAACTTGCGTGACATTTGCTGCGTTAGTGTCTTCCGCCAAGTCAACCTCGTCGTGTGAGGTGGCGAAGCTGCGGTGGCCTTCAAAAACCCTTTCTAGTGCCTTGTCAGTTTCGCGGTGTTCCTTGAATAGTGGCAGTGTCAGCTTCTCGTAGAAGATGCAGTCACGTGATTTTGTCACTTCGTGTGTCGCGTAGTCCAGCACGATCCATGCATTGTATTCCCTTTCGATTCCGAGGTGGATGCCCCATCGTGCCCGGTCAGCAAATTTTCCCGTCCTTGCTGTGTATGGCCTGTACCGTACCATGCAGCCGAACTCTCGAAGCAAATGCGTGTCAGCTTTCTTGCCTGTCCAGGCCTTGTAAGGAGAGGTGTTGTTCTCGAGAATTCGGGAGGACAACAAGTTGTGCAGCCGAACAGCGTGGTTCATCGCAAACGGCCAATATTTGGTTGGGATGGCCGACTGCTTCATCAGGGCCCTCATCGTGGTAGCGACGCTCCTGTTTGTCCGTTCTGCTACTCCTTGCTGCTCGTGAGCGTAGGGCAGGGACACCAGGTGCTCAATCCCCGTGTGCTTGAAGAGTTCCTTGAACTTAGATGAGAAAAACTCCAAGCCACCGTCGGTCTGGTAGCTTTTCAGCTTCAGTCTAGATTGACGTTCGGCCCGCTTCATCCATGCCACGAAGCACTCGAAGGCGAGGGAGCGGCAACCAGTGTTTACGGCCTAGACGTAGCGTGTGCATGCGTCGATGAAGGTGAGCGTGTAGTACTTGCCGTCGAGCCCTTCTTGACTGAGAACCGTGAAGTCGCTATAGACTTTATCGAGTGGATTGTAGCGTTCGTGGCCAGGGGGTAGGTCAGGGAAGGGCTTGTGGGCAAGTGATGCGGCGGGGCACACGGTACACGACGGATCTGCTGAGTCCGCTGTGAGACATCCTCCGCGAGGGAGAAGCAGTGCGCCTTCGTCGAAGACTCCGGCCTTGAGTGAGTTTTTGAGTGTAACGTGTGAAGGGTGGCCAAGTCGTTGATGCCATATATCCGGCTCTGCGCGATAACCAATGGTCCTCTGATAGTTTTGTTTCTTTCGGCTGCGTCGTTCTGCTCCTTTCCAGGTCCCTTGTCGCTGACAGCATCGGCGTCTGTTGCGAAGGCTCGAACGGAGATGTGTTTCAGGGCCACGTCCGGAAGTCCGATGATGTCGTCCGTGTCTCCGGCGTGAACGGGATCGCCTGTGACGAGCAGCTGTGGAAAGGATGCTGCCTCCAGCCACTTGGAAGCTGGGAGTCCTTTCATAGGGTTGCGGTGATAACTGTATTCGTCACCGATGACCTCGATCTGCTGCGGCCCTTGTTCTGGCGGCGGCGCCTCCTCGGTAGGTTCAGGAAGTTCTGTTCCTTCACCGAAGAACTCGTAAGTCCCGGGTCTTATAGAACACTGCCAACCCTTTGTAGACCCCCCCCCCCCCCCCCCCCCCCCCCCCCCCCCCCCCAACCCCCCCACTTACCCCCCATTTTAGGGGTGTGATTTTTATAATACCCCCAGGTCTTTTATCTAGGGTATTTCTGTTAGGCCCGCTGGCCTAAGTCCGCTAAGGAATTAGCGGGGTCGACTAAGTCGAGGATGAAGCGCGGCGGAA